ACCCGCCATGCCCAGACAAAGCAGCTGGCGCAGGCCAGAAGTGGGAGCATCTTCTCAGGATGGGAAGGGAGCATCCCTCCTCCCAGTCTCAGCGCCGCCAGCCACGCCAAGCCAGCTCCAGGCCCTCGCACAGGTATTTCCACAGGCTGACGTCAGTGCTGCTCCCAGCCGGAGGCTTATTCAGCGAAAGAAACCATAGTTGCAGCTGCGTTTCTGCGAAGGGCTGGGCTGTGCCCCATCCATCCCACCACAGCCCTGGGAGGGGTTGACAAAGCCCAGTCTAGCAATGAGGATGCCAAATTCCCACAGGGATCCAGCGACAGGCATCCCTAAAGGAGAGGGATGCTGTTCGACCGAGCAAAGATGCGCTTCAAAGCAGTCACAGACACAAAGGAATGAATAAGAGAGAAAAGTGCAGGGAAAAGAGCCTGGTAAATGGCTGGAAACAAAGCCAAGAGCCCAGGCAGCCTCATCCCCTCCCCAGTTCCTGACAAAGTGGCCAGGAGACGGAAAAGGTGGAGGGACAGCTTGAGGATTTCCTGCCATGCAAGCCATAGTGCAGTCACGCTGCCCTGCCTAGTGTCTGTGCTGCTTTCCCATGTCCCCTGCCCAAAGCCCACCCTTGCCCTCCTCAGGCATGGCCAGGCAGTTCCTCTCCCCCATCCCACGCTGCTGACGGTTACACCACACTGTGATTTTGTGGCCAAGACATATATATTTAGCTTCCCTGCAGCAAGGCAAGGCAAGGCAGCTCTCCAGCCCCAGCCGCTCGCTTGCTGGGCTCCCTCCAAGTGCACAACAAAGCCAGCTCAGTATGGCCTCGCTGCAGAGTGCAGCCAGGGGGAACAAGGAATATCCCAGGTGGGGGTTCCCACTTCCAGCTGAGTGGAGAGACAAGATCTTCCCCTGGACCCGAGCTCCTACGTAGCCCCTTGGGTGCAAGCGAGGGCTGTTTGATTTCCAGCCGCAGCCCTAACACACAGCATGGCTTCCATCCACCCGCCGCTCCCTGCCTGTCCTCTGACAGAACCTCACCTACTGCAGGCACTTTCCTGGACACGAGCCCTCAACCGCCCGCTCTGCTTCACAGGGCCAGAGCAGCCTGCAGCAAGTCCCATTTTCCATGGGGCTGCTGTACTTCATCAAGCAGGATCCACACAGGATGCGTTCGAGGTCGGGCAGCGTGACCGTGGCTGTGCTGGGAGAGGGTCAGCAGTGTTTCTAGCCAGGCACTGGGTTCAGTCAGGGCTGCGCCCAAGGAATCAGCTGCTCTCCAGCTGTGATGCAGACCACATGCAAGGCACTACAGGCAGGACCCCCAGCCGGCAGCAGGAGTCCTGGCAGCCTGCAGCCCCCTCCCCTTGCCCACCACATGGCCAGTGAGAGCTGAGCACAGGCAGGCACACAAGCAAACCACTCCCTGGGGAGTTGCTGGTCCAGAGCTGTGAGAGACTAAAAAACCCGAACTGTTTTGTCTCAACAATGTACCCAAGTGCAGTGTACCCAGATGTGTTCGCCAAGACGATGATTCTCAGGCCTTGCAGTGACAGAGAATGGGCTGGTCTGGGACATGCAGATATGGAGCAGGAACAACAGCAACCCCACGTGAGGAGCTCAGTGTGTGAGAACTACTGTCACCATGGCTCCCACTGCGTCGAAAAATTGCCAGTTCACTGCCACAAAGGATCCCTGATAAGGACTTAATATCAAGGTCTGCGTGGGGAAAGTGCTGTTACTCTGGTCTGCAAACTGCTGCAATTAAGCCGTAAAGGGGAATGGCCCCGTAAGAATAAAAGCGGCAAGTCCACACGTGCCACACGTGAGAGCTCCCCGCACGGAAGCAGCTGGATCAACGGGACACCACTGGATCCATGGTGGTGACTATCCTTTGCTTTTTATAATATTCTTTGCATATCTCCCCTTTTCCTTCTTTCCTGCCTCTCTCTTCAATGCTAATAAAGTGAGTTATAGTTTTGGCTACTAACATCTGACCTCGCTTGCCTTAATCTCACTCTGGATATATGCAGTCCTAAATCCCCTCTGCTTTTGTGGATCGGGACAAGAGCACAGTGTTTCTTCTGCACAAGGAGATGCCATCTCTGGCAGGCAGTGCTGGGAGGATGAAACAGTTTCCTAGCCAGTGCTGGCAAGAACAGGAGTCTGGGAAATGCTGGAGCAGCAAAGCCTGTCGAAGTGCTCCTCCAGCCCCATGGCCCCTCACCTCTCCACCCTGCTGGCCCTGCACAGCTCCAAGGAGGGTTTGGCCCAGGGCTGTGGGCAACATAGTGTGAACAGAAATGGAGCAGGAGAGGATGCTCAGGACCTCCCTTTGAGCCCATCAGCAAGTGCACATCAGGCTGGTGGTAGAGCACTCCCCATCTGCATGCCAGGACCTGAGCCACACCATCACCTCCTCATTTGCTTCAGGGCCTTTGGCAGGACCCATGGCTCCACCATCCCCCCACAGCCAAAAGTGGCACCACGGCACACGCTCCAGCTCTGCATTTGATTTCAACACTGCAGTGACAGATTTTCCATTACTTCTTGCTGGGGCGTTCCTGCTCCGCCTTTCCTTGCCAGTCCCATCACCTCACCTCTCCCCATTCCTGTGCTCCTGCCAGGGATGGGGAGGGAGGATGGGAACATGAGGAGCTCTGCCTGCCTAGAAGTTGAGACATGGGTGCAGTGCTCCATAACCCAGACAACAAATGGAGTCTCCCAGGACCAGCTGGGCTTGCAGAGCGATGCCTGCCAGCCCCAAGGCTCTGGCACCCACAGCCCCAGGAGCAACACTGCTCCCCACAGCAGGTGGTGCAGCACTGCACCGTGCAGGAGCCCCAGCAAGACAGCACAGTATGCAGGAGCAAGGGGGGTGAGACCTCACACCATCTCATTCCACCCTTGTACAGATCATTTTCTCTAGCTCGTGCTATATTCCTGAGGGAAAAGCTAATGCTAATCAGCCTGTTCTTCAGCTTCCCACAGAGGCATCCCTTCCCCCGGCAGGGCCCTGCGCAGAGAGCAGGGAACTAGAGCATCCTTAGTTACTCTGCAAGGTCCATGCACACTTCAAGAGCAGCTGCCCTGAGACACGGGAGCAGGCAGTTACCCAAGGAGCCCAGCGAGTTCCACGCTGGTGAGCCAAGGCCATGCTGACACCGACTTGCTGACGGCTACACCGGCTGTGCTTGAAGAGCCTCTTTCTTTGTTAGGGATGGCTGTAATGGAAATTAAGCCTTCCTGCCTCTCCTGTCCCACTGTATACCAACAGCCAGCACCATGAGCCAAGGACAGTGGTTACTTAGTAATTGCAGAGTGGCTTCTGCAGCTTGAATTTCGCTGGGCTGACCTGCCAGTGCAGGGCTCTGCAGGGAGAGCACCCCACACCTTGCTGCACCCCATGTCCTGCTGCACTTCAGCCTGACCACGGGGTCAGGCATCTGCTGTGGGCCCCTCGCAGCATGCCGGGCTTGGACCTTCCTTGCTTCCCAGCTGGATGTGTCTGTGTCCTTAGTCCCCCTCTGGCACATCACCAGCAATCCAACCCCAGAGAGCAGCTCTGCTGCTCCAGCTGCTGACAGAACCAGGACAAACCTTGGAGCTACTGGGTGCCTTCCACCTGCTTTTGGGGTGTCCCTTTCCAAACAAATAATGCAGCAGCCTCCCACTGGCCCTCAGACACCCCAGCACATGCAGTGAGCTCCCCAAAAGCCTCCTGCTGCCAGACCCTGCTGCACGTGTGCTTGCCACATCCCTGGGGCTTTTGCCTGCCTCGTGCTTGGGATGGGAAAACAGGAAACCCCCTGCTGCTGCAATCCCCCGCAGTTCCCTGGGAAGAAAGGATGGGAGGCAGAAAGGCTTGGCCAGGGCTCCCGGTGACCCTGCAAAACTCATTTAAGGCCAGCAATGCAAAAGGGAGCTGGGAAAATGTGTGGCTGTTTGGCTACAGGTGACGCTGGTCCCTCCGGAGTTTCCTGCCAGAAGAGATAACCCAAACCCAACCCCAACCTCAGCTTGCTGCCACCTGCCAGTGCGGAACGGGATCCAGCCCCGGCTGCAGCCAGCAGTGCTGCTCCTCTGGTTAAACATTCACTTCTCCCGCCAACCTCCCCAAAGCAGAAAAGTTAGCCCCAGCCGTTCCTGGAAACAATGTCACAGACCTCAGCCTGCTTTAAAAAAAAAAAAAAGGGCAAGAAAAAAAGTCAGAAAACTATTTTTACATTTCTCTGAGCTTTTTAAAGGAAAAAAGCTCATTCTGTAGCTCAGGAAACGCCCACATCCTCCTGACTGCCAGGGAGGAGCCCGCTAGATTTTTCCAGGGAACATGAAGCAACAGGCATGCTGGAAATGAGTTTTCCATCGGTACCCACAACTGTTGGCATTGGGCAGGCACTGCACGGGGCCGGGAACAGGACACGGTGGCATTTCTCACACATGACCCACGGCTGCAATCCCAGGCATTCGAGAAGTTAAAGCTGCCAGCGTTCATTCAGCACAGGCAAGGAGGCTCCCGAACAAGCAGGGCTTTATGAATCACCTCCCCGTTAAGCTTTCTCGGGCCAGCCGAGGAATTCACAAGCGATACCAAACCTCGGACACGGCGCTCCCATCATCTTCCCACCCAACCACGCGGTCCATCGGGAGGAAAGCCCAGGAGCTGCGTCCCGGAAAGACAACTCAGAGGTTGCATCCAGCTTTTAGGCATTAAATAAACGAATAAACGGACACGAGTTTATTCTGCCAGTGCCTGGGCGGTTCCTCAAGGAAAAGCTCAAGGCATCAACAGGGACATGCTCCAGCCTATCTCAGCTCCAAGCACAGAGAGGTTTTTGGCTTGCTCCCGTTTCAACTCACCCCACAGTCTCTCTTAGGGGTAGCAGGGGTGGCAATCCCCGAGGAAAGGTGTGGGAGGGGCTGCCACTCCCCCACTGCCAGGCGCCTGCCTCCTCCCTGCCTGCCCCACGATGGGCAAGAATGAGAAACTACAGAGTGGCAGAGACCTGGACAGGGACCACTACACCTACAGAAACCCTCCTGGGGAGAGAGAGCTTGCACGCAGCTGGGGGCATGGGGTACAGCACTGCTCCCTCCCAGACCATAACCTCAGGAGACCCACAAGTCCAACAGCACGTGGGGAGAAAGAGCATGGGCACTGCCATGGGCTGGTGCTTCACCTCTGGCACAGCCTGATCTCCTCCGGCAAGGCAGGGGTCTCTAAGCCCAGCCCCAGCCCCCCCACACAGGGCAGGCTCATCCCTGGAGCAAGAGGAGCAACTCTGACCCCGGGTCAGTGCCCAGCTGGCTGGGCGGGCACTATTTTCTGCTTAAAAAGGAAAAGATTCATACAAAGAAAGACATCCAAGGGGCTGAGCCCTTCCCAC